GGGGGGGGAAGTTACGGTCCTTGAAAAACTATCTATTGATAGATTAAAACCCTTTTCATTTTATAACCTTTGCCCATTTGAACGATGCCTTCAGGGCATGAAAGATATTAAGTATGTAAGTATTTTTTGTGAATTAAAGTCTCTGGTCATCTTTGGAGAAAATACAGATGGGAATGAGGCGGAGTAGGGTGGGAGGAGGCTCTGGAAGAGCACGTAAACTGACACAGACTGGGGTGGTAACTTTTGTGATGGAATCTGGTCTGTCACCTTGAAAACAAACCAAACTCCATCATCAGCATGAATAAGGATATGTGACTTGGTTTACTGTAAAATTTGACGGCTACAGAATTGCATCTGTTATAGTCATAGTATTGCAATTTGTTCTCGCCTTTGATGAGCATTTGCTGATGCAAGCCACGTAGTCAGCTGTAGCTCAGTTGGTTGCCCTGTTGCCTCGTATCACAAATTTCTGGGCTCAAGTCCCACTGCATAGCTTAAATACAAAAATACAGAGGTGACCTTTCCTGCAGATTAAAGATGAGAGACTTGAAACGTTTACCCTACTTTTCTTCTCCATGGATACTGCCTGACCTGAGTTTTTCCACCATTACCTTGCTTTATTCTTGACATATGCCAATAACTCAGGCACAAAGTGAACCTGGGACTTTGTGATCCACATGTAAAATGTTTGCCGACTGGACTTCCAAGAAACTGGATTGCCTGATGTTTTCCTAATGCTGCATCATAACGAGCCTGGAATTAAACCTGTGTTAAGTCTCAGCGAGAGAACTCATTCATTGGGAGACTGGAGGCTAGAAAAAAGGGACATATTTTAGAGATAATGAATCTCCTGCTTTTGGACATGGAGACATTCTTTCTCCAAAGCGTAAGAGTCTGTGTAACATGTTTTCTCAGAGAACAATGGAGGCAGCGTTGTTGAATGAATGTTTTTCAAGGAAGATTTAGACCGTGCACTCCTTCGAGCCTGCTCCACCGTTCAACTGACCATGATTTTGCACCTCTGTGATTTTCCTGCTGAATCCCTGAGAAGAGCTAGATTCTTGACAATAACAAGGGAACCAAAGGATATTGGGGTTTGGGAAGAAAACTTAGCTGAGATTAGAACTGGATCAGTCAGTTCGAGAGGCCAAATAACCTACTACTGCTCTTAATTTAAACTTGTAGAACAAGTAATGTATAAATGTTGAATTTCAACTACAATTAAACTTCTTGGCAACAAAACCTTAGGCTGCAACATTTGATAATCACAAGGGTTAAAACAGAACTACACATACTTTTTCTGGCTAAGATTCTGTGTAGTAATGGGATAGATATTGCTGCTTCTTACCTATTCAAAAGTTGGTATCTGACACTATGTTGCAGTGCCAGCACAAACTGAGACTGACTCAGAATCTGAGGGGTGAGTGTGCTATGACTGACCAAAGACTGCGAGAACATAACAAGCTGCTTGCTTATAAATTCCAGCCTGGAAACCCTAACTGTGCAGACGCAGGTTCACTCATGCCTGCGTAGATAACAGAACGAGACAGTGCTGGTTAGAAAAACATATCTGCCCATGCCAGTGTAGAAAAGCTGTGGAATGAGAACTTGAGCACAAAAAGGACCAGTTCAAATTCTAACACTGTAGAAGAACTCCCTTCTTTCTTGCAGATTTCAAGTTCCATTTTATCCTGCAGCAAGAGATCCAAAACCACTGAAAACACAACATGGATTGTGGCACTTTACGGAAAGATCACCTGCACTGACACCAAGCAGTGGGCTATTGGGAATGATGAGAAAACACCTACTTGAAGAGATTCCATAGATGGTCTTAAAGTGAAGTGGGAGGAATTCCAAAGCTTGGGGACTGGACACCTGAAAGATTGTGGAAAATGTTAGGGCAAAGAGTTTGAGACATGTCTAAAATGATGGTGTCAGCAGAACAAAGAATTCTTTGAAGAGATATGGTTATGTTGCGATTTAAGCACGAGTGTGTGAATTTAATTTTGAGGAAGGAGCTAACTTGGGCCACTGAGCACATGAGTAATAGGTGGATGGCACTTGGTGCGAGTTCAAAACGGGCAGCAAAGTTTTGAATGAGATGCAGATATAAGATGGGAGGCTGGCCCGACAGCTTTGGATGTAAAGGGAACAAAAGTTTGAACATGGATTTCAGTGGCAGATAGTTGCCATGTTTTGGTGTTTAAACAAGAGAAGGGAATGTTTCTGTACCTTCCTGGTTCTTGAGAATAAACTAAACTCCATTATCTCCATCACTAAGTTTTGACAGCCACAACATTAGATCTCAATATGGTTGTTGTATAACAATCTGTTTTCTGAAGTTTTTGAGGAGCATTCACTAATGGAAGCAACGTAGTCAGCCGTATTTCAGTTGGTTGAACTCTTGCCTCAAGTCATGAGGTTCTGGGTTTAAGTCTCACTCCAGGACTTGCATACAAAATGCGGGTGTACGTTGCACTGCACTACTGAGAAAGCGCTGAACTGTCAGAGGTGCCATCTTTTAGAGCCTGCTCTCCCAGGATGTAGATGTTAAAAGATTCCAATGCACCGTTTTGAAGAAAACAGCAGAATTCTCCCTGCTGCTTTTTGTCAATATTTGTTCCTCATTCATTACCATGCGGTGGTTGGTTCGCTGGCCGAGCTCAGTGAGCGAACCAACCACAGCATCCACAACCCGAGCTACAAATCTACTCAAAAACCTCACTCATTGTCAGTAAAAGACTAATTACCTGGTCATTATGTTTGTGGGAGCTTACAGTTTACAAGATGGCTGTCGTGTTTTCTACATTACAACTGTAACTACACTTCAAAAATTCTTCATTGATTTTGAGACATGTCTTGCTTACAGGATGTGTTCTATAGGAATTAGGATTGGGAGTAGACAGTTCAGCCATTCAGGCCCACTCTGCCGTCTGACATGATCATGGTTGATCTTATTGTGGTCTCAACTCCACTTTCCTGCTCCCCATAGCCGTTTAACCTGCTTTTCATCTGAAACATACCTATTTCTTTCTTGAATCTCTTGATTGATTTTGCCTCCAGTGTACACTGGTATAAATTGTTACACATTTAGAAGGAATTTCATTAATAAAAATGTGGATGAAACTTTTTAAAAAAGTTACAAAGTTATCTCACTATTGAGGAAAAAGATTTGCAACAGACAGAACATTATTGCTGTCATTTCATGGTCACTGATACTCAAGAAGAGATTCATCATGACTGAAAATTAAATATGAAAGAATCTGATTCTTATCTTCCTCTGTATTCTTTTTACAGAAATGCTGCAGTTTGTCAATGGCCAAGTTGGAGACTTTCCTGACCTATTTGATGAACAATTCAGTGGTGGGCTGACAGGGTGTGACAAGCTTGATCAACCTCCCATCACCACGCAGCAGCAACCAGTTCAACAAGTACAACACCAACAGCAACAACTAACTCAACAAGCTGTTCAGCCGTCCACATCGTCAACTCTGTCCCAGACTCCATCTGCTTCCCAAAAAACTACCCCAGCACTTCAACCTCGTCCACCAGCACAGGCACAACCTCCACAACAAACGTTCATGATAGCTTCAAATTTTACCTCAACCCCTACACAGACTCGCTTCATCCAGCAACCAGTACTAACCTACCAGAACCAAGGTGGATTTTCAGGTATTCTCGTGCTAGAGCTCGAGTGTGGAGGTGTGTCAGTGTGGTTCTAGATCGCAACAACACAATGGTGGAAGGCTGTTTGCACTTCGTGTAGAGCTTATTATTTACATCTCAGATGTAGGCCTTTCAGCCTAACTCTGTTTTTATGCCTGACATGAATTTCTCCTCATGTTGGCAAACTCCTTTCTCTCTTGTTTCTCCAGCATATGTTTAAATTAATCTACTATTTTCCTCAACCACTCCACATGATAGTGAGTTCTAAATTTTAACCACTCTTTGCATAAAGAAGGTTCTGGTGGTATTATCCACTTTTCAGTGTAGCTAGGTACAAGTGACAATATTAAATAATTCTAAATCTTGAATTCCTTATCGGATTTATTAATGATTATCTCGTATTTATGGTCCCTATTTTTAGACTGATATACAAATGGAAGCTATCTCCTCTACACCTGAACATAATAAAATTATTTTTGGAATGTGGTTGTCACTAGCAAGGCCAGCATGTGTTCCTTATTCCGACTTGTCTTTTCAGAGAGCAGTTAGGAATCGGCTGTATTGCTGTAGGTCATATGTAAGCCAGACAAGGGTGACAGATTCCCTTTCCTCAAGGACATTGTGATCCAGTTGGCATTTTACAATAGCCTGCTGTAACCAATACAGTCAATATTACTGGGACTCACTTTCAACTCAGTTTTAATTAATTGAATTCAGACGCACCAGTGCGATGATGGGATTTGAACTCGAGTCCCCAAAGCATTACGCTGGGCCTCTATTTTAGTCCAGTGACATTATCACAATGCCATCATCTCCCACTAAACGGTTCAGGCTTTTACTTTCCAGATAAAGGAACTCCAACTTGTTTGGCAGTCCTGATAAGAGCTATTAAAAATATCATTTTGAATTTCCTGAGCACAGGATTATTGGTCTTTATGTTAAGACATTTAGCCTAATTTCAATATTGTTGCATAAAAATACAATAATTAACGATGATACATTCTTTTTGAAGTCAATCAGAATGGAATTAGTAAGCAGGGACAAAGTGATGAGTTGCTGGTAAATTCTTGTAGACGATTACAGAGTGGAAAATGACGGACCTGAAAATGAGTCACTTCCTTCTAATTTAGTTTGGAAAGTCATGTGTTGTGCAGGTGGAGACAAATAGCTTTGTGGTTTCACAGAAGTAGAATACATCTTCCCGTCCAGTTTCACTATGGTGTAAGTGTTTGTGTTGGAATGGGATTCTACAGGGGAGAAGGGCTCTTCTGTCTGTTGCCGCACGTAATGGCTGTTTATCGTAGGTAAGCCCAGAAAAAATGTTTGACTGGAAGGACATTCTTCCTGGTTTTCACCCATGCTCACTTTGCAGTGAGACCACTGTTCAGTTGCAAAAGCTTTCTCAAGGTTTCTTGTGACAGTGCTTTTGCCACTTTTCATCTGAACTTTTGCTGATTCTGTTCAAACCTGGGCCTTCTCATATGTGCCTTCGTTACATATTTCATTAGCACTGGAATAACTGCTTGGTAGTACAGAACTTAAACATTTCTAAAAAGAAACCAGAAGTCAGGGCCTTTTGTTTTACATTCATTAGGATTCAAACACAAAGACAGACTTGAACAAAGGGAATACCTTTTTATACAGCATGTGAAGGGGCGCTGATTGGTTGGGATGAAGCAAGAACAACTACTGCTGATCCCTTAGTTGTCAAACTAGGCAGGTGGACTCTGGTCAGGGTTATGCCATTGGAATGCAGCAGAGATTGGCAGTCTCCATGATCCATTTTTTCCCCTCAGAAAAGGTACATTTTATGTATGAATTACCTTTGGCCATTTAAAACAGAGTTCTGTGTATTAAAGTATATAGCTGCCAGCATGCACAAATGCATCAGAAAATCTGACTGATGGCCTTAAATCAGTTTCTGGTGTAATTCTTAAAACAGTCTGGATTATTAATAAATGATTTCCAATAGCAGAATTGCATCTAATGGTAGACATTAAATCTTGAATTTTCTCGGTAGCCTTATGCCACAGTTGGAAACATCTCTTCATCAACTCGATTGAACCTTTTTACCATCATTAAGACCTTTATTGGCTCTTTCCTTTGCCTCCCAAGTGGCCTCAGGGTGATGGATGCACCACATAGAGTGGAGTGGGTTTTGTATCTTTCCAAGGTGACAGCACAGACCTTTTTAGATTTAATGATTCTGATCCTGATCCAGGGAAGAAAAGGAACCCAAATATAACCTAGTAGGAACTGCAGATGCTGGAGAATCTGAGATAACAAGGTGTAGAGCTGGATGAACACAGCAGGCCAGGCAGCATCAGAGGAGTAGGAAGGCTGACGTTTCGGGCCTAGACCCTTCTTCAGAAAGGAGGAGGGACTAGGCCCGAAACGTCAGCCTTCCTACTGCTCTGATGCTGCTTGGCCTGCTGTGTTCATCCAGCTCTACACCTTGTTATCCTAAATATAACCTACCCTGTCTACACTTGTCGGGTCACCAATTATTAAAAATCAAAGCATGGAATTTAAAATGTGGCCAGATCTGCAAATCAGGGTTCGGTTTAACATCATACAAGAGATAACACCAACCCGGTTGGTGAGCATTTATCTGTTAAAGTGATTGAGAACCATAATCATTAACCCGCATTACTACTTTGTGATTTGTGAACCTGGACTTCTTTTTATTCCATTGCCACAGCGTGCTTTCCAAGGCATATGTGACCACTCATGCTTCCCACCAAAATTCACTACCTCATGCCTAAATTGAAATTAAGTTGCCCATTAAGCATCCATTCCGCAAGTTTATTGAAGTCATTTGTGTTTTGGATAGATTTTTGTTTCAAGTGCATGAGAGAGAAACATGGAGTGTTGTGATTGCTGCTGTTCATAGCCCAAGGTTTACTTATTTTAACCTGGATATTTTAACAGTTCTTCAACCTCAGATACAGAACCTGGTCACTTCCCCGCATGTCCAGCCAGTTGCATTTCAGCAGCAGGTACAGGGTCTGTCCACTCACAGGATGCTTACTTCAACCACCACTGTGGGCAACATTCAGACACTGACTCCAGGCACTACCACTACTGTTCAAACGCTCTCGCCACAAGTACAGCAAGTACCTGTAAGTATGTATTTACTTAAAATTAACCAAATTCATTTTCTTGATTTCTCTATCTCCTATCTCTCAAACTAATAATACTGTTTGGAAATATTCTTGTCAAAAGGTAGAGCATGATGGTTTCTGAGCTGGTGCAACCATGGAAGTACAATATCAAGGAAGACAATTGGCCCAGGATGTATGATGTCAATTTAGAAAAATTCAGAGGCTTCAGAGCTGAGAGATTGGCTGTTGGAATCAGTGTAAAGTCCCTTCTGAAAGAAATATAGCTGTGAGCATGGTTTCATTCTAAAAACACCCAAGTCTCTTCCTTTAGTGCCAAAAAGTACCTTTTGTGGAATGGAGATTTTTGGCTGCCATTCAATAGTCAATCAAATATCATGCTTTAGAAATAATTGTACCTTGTCATATTTTGTGTAGCAGTGATGCAAGTCAGCTTGCTTTTCACAGGTAATGAAGTCTTTTATTGGAGTTAACCAATTTCCTGCATTATGCACCAGCACAAGGAAACGTAGTCAGTGTATTTAAGGACTTGAAAGTGGATTCAGAAACAAAATTCTCCCAATTTTGCAATTGCTACCATATTGGGATAGGCTACAAGCAATGAGGAACAGATCCATCAAATGTAGAGGAATTGTAAGAATGAACAAAGTTGTGGTGATGAGTGACAGATGACATGTAACATGGGCAAATGCAAAATCATGTCATTGACTATGCACAATAGAATGGGTTGTACAAATTAAATGGTATTCCAAGGGCACAACACAGCAGAGGGATCCTGAATTTATCAGCATATTGATGGCAGTAGAATTAAGAAAGTATAGGAGTATGGAGGAGTACAGCATAATTCTTCAAAACTGAGTTTGTGAGCAATGTTGATCCAGCCCTACCTGAGACTGATGTAGAAATGTTTCTCGCATTTATTTTGGAGTATAACATTATATCCGTGGGCATTCATAGAATGTAGCAAAATGAAAGTCCATTCAGCCAAACCAGTCCATGTGGTGTTTTTGTGAGCACCTCCTACCATAATCTGACTTATCTAGTTTTATTACTTGGCAAATGCAAAACCCTGGAGTCAAGTGATCGCCTCCTTGCTAAGGTTTAAAGTGATTAGTTGTCTACTTAGTCTCTAGAGGTGAGACTCCTTGGTAATGTGCAGCATTGATTGCTTATGTCACTTCAAGTGCTTAAGTGAGAGGACAGTATACATTAGCTGTACAGGGACCCCATTACCTTGATAAGCAAGATTACTCTTGTCCTGGTACATCAAAGCCTGCTGTTTAATAAATAAGCTCTGTCTCAACAAACTTGAGTGACTTCTCATCTACCTCATTCCTTGATCCAAAGATGACTGCTGGTAGATCTTGCTCAGAAATGTTGCTCCACCAACTTTATTATTTAACCAAATCAACGTAACCTACTGTTCTCTTTTTCCCCATGTGTTTGTTAGTTTCTTCTTAAGTGTACCTATGGAATTCATGTCAGTTACACCAGATGATATTATCAGCGCTTTCTGGGTGGAAATGTTTCTCCTAAATTCCCTTTGAGTTTCTGCTATGTCAAATACTTTCATTATTGTAAGAACCTCTACCAGCCTTCTCTTTATCCAAAGAAAAGGCACTTCTTCGTCAGAAATGTGTGTGATCAAAGCTATGTGCTTCACCAAGATATTTCAGCTCAATTCTGGAAGTGAAGAAAGAGAATAGAGGAATATGAAACCATGAATATGATACTTGTGATTGGTTGTGTGGGCAAAAGTTTAGCTTGGCTGAATGCATGTTTATTATTATTAACAACTTATACAGCACCTTCTAACCTAATGAAACACCCCAGGACTTTTCACAGGAGTATTATTGAACAAAATATGGCACAGAACCACAAAATTAATCTCTTAAAAGAAAAGAAAAAGAGGTACAGAGGCAGGAAGGTTTGGGAAGAGAATTTCAAGCAGATATCCTGGAGGGTTAAAGAATGCTTCAGAGAAAGGAAGGGATGAGGCCAAGGAGGGATTTGAAAACCAGGGTGAGAATTTCAAAATTAGTGCATAGTTTGACTAGGAGCAACTATATGTCAACGATCACATGGATGATAGATGAATGGAACTTGGTGCAAATTAAGACAGGAGCAGCAGAGTTTTGGAGACCTTAACTTTACAAGTAGTAGAACGTTGGAGACCAGCTAAGCGTGCAGTGGAACAGCCCAGCCGAGAGGTAACAAAGGATTGTATGAGGTGGCAGAGGTGAATGCAGGTAATGTTAACTTGGAAAGCAGTTCTAATGATGGCACTAGTATGTGGCCAGAGTCCAATGGTTTTTTTGTTTTTCTCTCTTACCGTGTTCAGTTGCCTTCCTTCACTTTGCCTTGGCCTTCAGTGACCATAACAACTATCATTGATTATCATAAAAACCTTTATGGTTCAACAAGAAGCAACAGCTGAACACACAATGGGAATCATCAACCCAGAGATGTTAAAGCTGAAAGACAAGCATCTTACTCTAGTCAAGAGATAGACAGCCTCATATTTTTGCATATAAGTGCTGTTGGAGGAAGTGCTGAAATGATGTCCTGAAAGCATCAAGGATGAGAGACAACAAGGTGCAGGGCTGGATGAACACAGCAGGCCAAGCAGCATCATAGGAGCAGAGAGGCTGACGTTTCGGGCCTAGACCCTTCATCTGTTGCTGTAAGAGTATTGGGCATACAGAAATAAATTAACAGCCCAAGCTGGCAACTTGTTCAAAGGAAATTGAAACATTATCTCTAAGGAGATGAGAAGGTCCTGAGGTGTATTCATATAAAGGAATTTTTAAAATTTATTATTTATTCATGGGACATGGACGTCACAGATTGGGCCAGAACTTAGTTCCCATCTCTAGTTGCCCTTAAGAGCAACTTTAACCTATTGAAACATCCCAGGGTGCTTCACAGGAGCATTATTAAAGAAATATAACACAGAACCACAAAATGAATCTCTTAAAAGAAAAAAAATTGTGAGTTGCCTTCTGGAACCACTGCAGTCAATTTGCTAACCCACAATGTTCCAGAATTTTGACCCAGTAACAAGTCAGGATGATATGTATCTTGAAGAGGAACTTTCAGGTGGTGATATTCCCATGTGTATGCTGCCTTTATCCTTCTTGATAGTGGTGGTCATGGGTTTGGAAGGTGCTGTCTCAGACACTTGGTGAATTTCTGTAGTACATCTTGTGGATGGTACGCACTGCTGCTACTGAATATTGTTGACAGAGGGAGAGAATTTTTGTGGATATGCTGTCACTTGCTTTTGTCCTGGATGTACCAAGCTGCTTGAGTGTTATTTGAGCTGCACTTATGCAGGCAAATGGGGAGTATTCCATCATACACCCCTGACCTGTGCCTGTAGGTGATTGACAGTCTTTGCATCAGAAGATGAATAACTTAATGCAAGATTCTTAACTTCTGACCTGCTCTCATAGCCTGATTGAGTCTAGTTCTGAGGAAAGCAGGAGATTGCTCTATTGACCAAGCAAAGATAATGAGGTTATGATCAGTCAGTGCAGTACTTGTAATACAAGCAAGCTAAAGAACCATTAATGAGCCTTGCAACACTTGTAAGACTTTGAAAGCAAGTTTGGGTAAATATCTGATCAAACACAAGAAGGAACATGGTGGCATGTGCTTGAACCAGGACAAATAGAAATGGTTTAATGATGGACATTTTGGAAGAGAAGCGAATTACTGTGAAACAGATCATGACCTAATTTCTGATGCAAGATCTGTTTTAAGTTATGGGTATATTAAGTGCTGTTGTCTTTTAACACTCTTCAATTAATATTGTTTTCCTTAGTTCTACAATGCTGTAGTTTGCTCAGCTTTCAAAAGTAAAAATGCTTTACATGCAGTAGTGCTTTGCTGTTATTTGGTTTATTTATAGTCATGTGTATCTTGTTACAAAATACAGTGAGGACTTATATTGTAGATGACTATTATTGCAGTGAATGATGTTGGGATGGCCTTTAACAGCAGTTATCTGATGCATTTGAGTCAGCACCAGGGTAGATGTTTCCTAATCAACATATTCAGAGATGTTGCTACACACTTCTGGAACAGGTGGAAAATGAAGCAGGAGGCCAGGTTGAGAGGTAGGGATACTACCACTGCACTGCAAGAACCCTTCAGCACAATCTACAACCTACCTAAATTAGATACTGCTGAGCTCATAGATTTAGTTTTGGAAAGTGACATTTGTGATTCTTTTATCAAATAGAGCTTTCATTATTCTTTGATTCTGTGCTATTCTGCTCTAATTTCTTGTTCCTGTGTATGGAGTACAGATGTAGTGGATGCGGTCGTTTAAAAGACATTTGATGTGCCCCTTGAAAGGCTTCAATTTTGCTAATTTAGTCTATGACAAAATGGCCAGTGGCAATTTGAACTTGGGTCCTGGAGTGGAATTTGAACCTAGGATTGTTTGACTAGGATGTAAGATTATACCAATTAATACCTCAAATAACTGCTAAGAGTTTAACTGATGTGATTCACTTGTTCAAGATAAATAATTTGCTACTGGAACTCCCTTTTTTGACAACTTAGCCGCTGGTATCTGTGAGCTGTATAATAGCAAGTTGGGCTGTTTTCTTTAGAGTTTAGAAGAATGAGAGGTGATCTTATATGAAACAGAAAAGATTGTGATGCGGCCGGACTAATGCTTGCTGAGATGATTTCTCCCCTTGTGGAGAAAATCTCGAACTAGTGACACATGGTTTAACAGTTACGGATCTCCCATTTAACACAGATGTTTTTTTCCTGCTGGTGTTTAGTCTGTTGATTTCTTAACCCAGCGAGCAATAGAGGTTGTGTAATTGAATATATTCAAGGCTGAGGTAGACAGATTGTTAATTCATATGGGAGTCAAGAGTTATGGGGAACAGGTGTTTAGCTGTGTAATTGTCTTATGGGCCTTAAAATTAGGTGCAGCTACTTGAGTCTGTTATGCTATTTCTTAAGATTGTGGCTCCTGCTTTCTTGTCTGCTCCTGTTCCCTTTGATGCCCTTGTCACTCAAAAACGGGAAGCAGGCTTGATTGGCTGAGTAGCCTGCTAATTCTTGTGTGCTTCTCCAGATGATGCAGTTGACCTTGTGAATGTGGTCATTCAAAAGGTGTTGGTTCAAGTAACATTTAATAATAAACTGGCTAGCAAGATCAAAGCCTGTGAGGCAAAAAGTTTGGTGACTGCTTGAATAGAACTCTTGATGTGGAACTTAAACCTAGGACTATTTGATTAGTATGTGAGATTGTTGCCAACTAAAATAAGTGAACACTGCTTTGATTTTCTGTTTTATTATGTCTTCAAGAGCTTGACACAAGGACTGATGTTGCAAGTGCTTCTGCAGTTTTCTGTTTATTACAATGTAAATTATGTTATTAAAAATATGTTCCAGTGTTCTGTTTTTGTACTGCATGGGAATGTAGCATCTTAAAATGCTGCCCTTTCCATCCTCACCTCTGCCACATTGAGTTAGTAAAAGCTAGATTCCTGCCTCAGGAGAAATTTTACTTTTTAAACACATCCGTCTCTTGAAGAATCCTGAGAACCTCAACTTGCCAAAGCTGAATGTGTTTATTGTTGCTGAGTTTGGAGTCCAACAAAGTTATCATTTAGAGAGTACAAGGTTCAGAATCTTCCACAAGTTACGGAATTTCATACTTTTCAATATAACCAAATGAGTAGTAATCTTTTGCACTACACCTCTGCCAGTCCCTCAAATTTTCCTGAGTTGGCAGTGTGACCTAAACTTGGCAAGAATAGTTTTCAGTCCATCATTTAACTGTTAAACTGCAACTGGTTACTTACATTTTTTTTAACCAGGCATTAGATTCTGTTCTCATTTGTGAAATCAGCTTTATTTCTCATAACTTTTGAACAACAAGTATTTCAATTGTTAATTATATTGTTGCCTTCATGTTTTGTGACAATCGGGTGCGTTTTATTCTATTCTAGGTGCTGGTGCAGCCACAACTCATAAAGACAGACTCCTTGGTCCTAACAACTTTGAAAGCTGATCGCAACCCAGTCATTGCAGCAATGCAGAATCCAACCATCACAACCCTGGCCACTCCAATGCAGACAGCTTTACAAGTCCCGGTATGTTCAGTTCAGAGATGAGTCATTAATGCAAGTTCAAATGAAAGTGTTGTTTCTTTTATTGCATGGTTTGCTTTAGAACCTTTATTCCATATATCTACTTTCTGATGGATATGGGACTCTAACTAAACCTTGGAGTTCAAATGGTGCAAATAACTTGTTTGGAAAGAATTTTTCTATGGAGATCACCAGTGACTTAGTCAATGGACTGATTTGAAAATTCAGCTCCCAATTATTGAGTTAAATGGTCTCAGTTGGGTGAGCAAGATGATTGTAGTCAGCTGCATAATCACCAGCTTTGGCAGGGGAGGAATCAGCTCATTTGTGTTCCAGAAAAGCACATGGGGTTGAGTTTAGTTTACTAACATGGGTAGGGAACTGGTTTAAAACAAGAAGCAAAGAGTAGGAATAGGCAGGTCTTTTTCTGAGTGGCAGGCAGTGACTAGTGGAGTATCACAAAGATCAGTGCTTGTATCTCAGTTATTTACAGTACACTAATGATTTAGCTGGGGGAACTAAATGTATCTCCATGTTTGCAGATGACACAAAGCTGGATGGCAGAGTGAACTGTGACGAGGGTGAGAGATGCTTTAGAGTGGTTTTGGGCAAGTTGAGTGAGTGGGCAAATGCATGACATCATAATGTGGATGAATGTAAGGTTATCCACTTTGGTCGCAAAAATAGCAAGACAGATTAACACCTGAATGGAAAGAAATTGGGAAGGGGGAGGTACAATGAAATTTGGATATCCTTGTACGTCAGTGGCTAAAAGTAACCTCGCAGGTGAGCAAGTAATGAAGAAGATACTTGATATGTTGGCATTCATAGTGAGCGGTTTTGAGTACAGGATCTTGTTTTGCTGAAATTATACAGGGCCTTGGTGAGTCCATACTTGGAGAATTGTTTGCAGTTTTACTCTCCTTATTTGAGGAAAGATGTTCTGGCAATGGAGGGATAACAACAGAGGTTTACCAGACTGATTCCTGGGATGGCAAGACTGACGTATGAAACGGCACTGGTTTGGTTAGTGCTATATTTACTGGCATTCAGAAGAATGATGGGGTTTCTCATAGAAACCTCAAATTCTAAAAGGGCTAGAACAGGATTAACACAGGAATAATATTTCCGATAAGTGGGGATTCCAGAACCAAGGGTCATTGTCAAAAGTAACAGGGTAAGCCATTTATGACTGAGAAGAGGGGAAATTTCTTAATGCAAAGTAGTGAGCTTGTGGAATTCTCTTCTATAGAAAACATTAGAGGTTGAAACATTGAATGTTTTCAAGTAGAAGTGATCAGTCAGCTTATTGAAGTACTATAGTCTATGCAGTTTAGGATGTGGAGGGAGTGCTAGAAATTTTGACCCAATGGGATAAACGAATGGGGGATAAATATTCAAATCCAAATGTTGAGACATGGAAGTGGTAGAGTTCATCTGCGTCCATTACCCTGATCCTTCTACATGGTAATGGTTGTTTGTTTGTTTGTAGGGGTGAGTTTGGTGCTGTTTAAGAAACCATAGTGTATTACTGCAGTGTATCTTGTAGATAGTATACATTGCAGCCACTGTGTACTGGTGGTGGGAGTAATTTTTAAAATGTCCTCCTTTTTGAATATTTCAAGCCATTAGGAAAAGTCATTGGCTGGTGAAATCTTCAGACCTAGCCATTTTTTTTTGTCATTGAGACGTTGAACTAAAGAAGCAAGTGTAACAGAATTGAAAATTGAGGTGTATGAGATTGAGGGGCGAAAGCAGGGTGGATAGAAAGCAGCTGTTCCTGTTAGTTGAAGGGTCAGTAATGAAGGCATAATTTTAAGGTGCAGATCAGGAGGTTCAGAGAGTATTTGAGGAAAACTGTTTTCATCCAGAGTGTGGTGAGAATCTAGAAAGCATTGCTTGGGAGGGTGGTTAAGGTGGGAAATATCATAACCTTTAAATAGTACATTGTGGAGCACTTGAAATGTCCATCACATTCAAGTCTCTATACCAGTACAGGAAAGCAGGATTAGTGCAGGGATATCAATGGGCTGAAAGGCTTCTTCTGTCCTGCATGACTCTAACTCTATTTTGAAGAACATTTTTTTTAAAAAGTGTTTTGCCTATTTTCAACCCTTGTAATAGATGGAGCAGTATTCACAGTGCTTTCGAGATCCAACAGAGCTCAAAATCCTTTATCATATTTTCTGATGTCACGTTGCAACATGAAAGAGAGTTGCAGTTGGAAACATAATTTCTCGAGCTACCCTTTCTATCTGTTCTGATTCTTTCAGAAAACAAAGGTATAGGGGTCAAATTGCCTGGATGAAGTGTCATGTAATGTGGGAGGGACCTAAAATGGAGGCCAAAAATGATGGTTTTTTAAAAGCTTATTTTAAAAAAAAAAACTGTAAAGTTTGTTAGATCTTGTGTACGTGGATCAGTGGAAAATTACTTTTAACTTTTTCACCTCAGACATTGGTAAGCAGTAATGGAACTATTTTGACAACTGTGCCAATGATGGTTGGACCTGATAAGGTTCCAATCAAGCAGATTGTTGGGAATGGAAAAGCCCCAGTGGAGGGGCTGAAGGAAGGTGAGAAGAGAACAACTCATAATATCATTGAGAAGCGATATCGATCATCCATTAATGATAAGATCATAGAGCTCAAGGATCTTGTGATGGGAACAGAAGCTAAAGTAAGTCACTTTTATGATTTTTTTCATTCAGAATATTCTATGTAATGGTGTGTTATATTCCTGAAGGTCACTGCTCATAAGAGTTAAAGGAAGAAAATAGTATACCATGAGCGACAGTCATATATATTTCACGCAGCAGTTTGTGATTCATTCATTGTTCCAATTAACGTTATTTATTCACTTATCCTTGGTTTTGGTAGACATCTGTATTAGAGTGCTGTAGGAATTTTTTAAAAATCAGGATATTTGGGGTTTAATCTCTAATTTTCATATTTGTTGATAAGATTACTTGGTTTTTGAAGGACAAGTGATAATATAATTGACCTCAGCATCTGGAGTTGACAAGTTGAACCATGATTCAGAACATTATCAAAGTTTATATGCAAGTATGTTCAGCAGTAACTGAAATCAAGTTATTGTGATGATATCAGATCTATTTACATTCACACATGAAGTACAGCTTCTTTGGCATATTTCAGGTAGCTCATCAATGCTGAGCAAGAGGTGATAACTTCCGAGCATGAGGCAAGCAATAATAAAATCATTAAAGTTTAGTTACAGGGCTTGCTCACTGCTATTCTTAATCTATATTAATTAACTAGACTGAGATGCACAAGGCACAAATTTCAAAATCTGTCGGTGACACAAAACAAACATCCTCAACTGTGAGGATAGACTTATGGATGGCACAGACAGGCAAGTGTAATTGGCAGACCAGTGCCAGCTTAATTTAGAAACAGAGACCTGAGTGGACGTGCACAATTGTTGAAGAAAACAATTTAAAAAAGTATTTGGGATCCTGAGCTTCATGAGTCAAGGCAGAGAGTATAAAATCAGGCAAATTATGATGAACTTGTATATACTAGCTCTGCCTCATCTGGAGTAGCATGTTCCTTTCTAGGAACCACATTTCAGGAAGGGTGGGAAGGCCTTTGAGAAAATGGTTCTGGGGTAAAGGAATTCAATTATGTGGATAGATCACAGAAACTGGGGTGACTGTCTTTGGAGAAGCGAAGAGAAAACTTGAGTAAAGGCATTGAAAATTATGAAGAATCAAGACAAAATAGTTCGGGAGAAATTAGTCCCACTGGTGGAGAATTGAGAACCAAAAGACAACAATTGAAAATGAATGGAAAAATTACCAATGGTGACATGAGGAAAGCATTTATGTAGCTATGTCTAAAACCTTGAATGTGTTGCCTGAGAATGCAGTTGGGGCAGATTAAATCATGACTTTCAAAAGAGAATTGGATAATTAATTTGAAGAGAAAACCGTTGCAGGAGAGGGGAACTGGCTGACTTTTTCCCCCGCAGAGAGTTGGCTTGGCCTCAACAGCCTTTTTCACTTATGATTTATTTTCTTTATTCATGGCATACAGGCATTGTTGGTCAGCATTCACTACCCATCCCTCATTACTCTGGAGAAAGTAGTGAGCTTTGATCTCAAATTGTTGGTCAAACTTGGGATGTGAGGACAACCACAATACTGTTAGGAGGGGAATACCAGGCTTTTGTTTCAGTGACAGCGAAGGAATGGTGATATAATTCCAAGTCAGTATGGTGTGTCACTTGGAGGAAATCCACACTTTGCAATTTCCAATCCTGAAGTTGATAAATGACAGGTCCTATGAACTATAAATCAGTTCAATGTTGTTGCTCTCAATGGAATCAAACCTTTTAAAAAAATTTATTCTTGGGATGTGGATGTTGCTGGCAAGGCTGGTGTTTATTGCTCTTGAGAAAGTGCTGGTGAGTGCCTGCCAGACCTGCTGGTTTCTGTGGTGTACGTGAACCTACAGTGCTTTAATGGAGGCAGTTCCAAGATTTTAACTCGGTGAAACAAAGGAATGACTATTTTCATGTTTAGGTGGTATGTGACTTGGATGCAATGGTGTTCTTGCCTTTGATATTTCTCTTTCTTGCATCCCACATCCCACATCCCGTCTGTATTTGACCATCAATACAAGTTACATGATGAAGGCTTTTAAATTTATTTATACATCATTGCATGGGGAGAGCACAAATTTCATTGTTAAAAAATAAATTGCCAATGAAATGAATGGTCAAATTAACTATACCAGTCTGCCGTGGTGACTGTTTATAAGGTAGCTATAATTTTGATTCTTTTTTGTTAAAATCTTTTTAAGAAAGAATTAGTGCTAAGTTGGTTTTATAATAAGGTAGTTGGAGCTGTCAGAACTTGTATTTGCATGGTGATTTTAAGAGTAAAATGTCCCAAGGCACTTCAGACGAGGATGATCAAACAAAATTTGACACTAAGCCACAGAAAGAAATATTTAATGCAAATTAACCAAACATTACTATCACTCATTGCTGCTTGTCTCCATTTTGTGTGGTCAGCAGTGTAACAAATTTCATTGAGCAAGACCGAAGCTTGTGTTTAAGAAATAATGTACTGGCATTGGAGACAGTTCAAAAGGGATTCATGAGACTTATTTTTGGGATAAATGGAGTTGACTTATCAAGAATAGATAGACAGGATAGGCTTTTGTTCATTAGAGTTTAGCAGAATGAGGGGTGATCTTTAGATATCGAGAAGTTCATAGAATCCCCATAGTGTGGAAGCAGGCCATTTGGCCATTCGAGTCCACACCAACCCTCCAAAAAGCATCCCACTCAGACCCAAACACCCTACATTTTCCCTGAAACCCTGCACGTCCCTGCATACTAATTTAGCATGACCAATCCACTTAAGCTGCATATCTGTGGGAGGAAGCCGGAGCACTCCGAGGAAACCCACACAGACAAGGGGAGAATGTACAAACTCCACACAAACAGCAGTGCTAACCACTGTTTCCATTAGCAGAGGAATCTTGAATAAGAGGGCATAGTGACAGAATAAGCTCAGATGTGAAGGAATTTCTTCCCTTGGAGGGGAGTTAATATCGGGAATCCTTTGTCCCAGAGAGTGTGGAGGCTAGATCGCTGCAAGTTTTTAAGAGGTATGTGAATTTTTGAAATTTCATGGAATTGAGAGCTAAGATGAAAGAGGAGTTGAGGCTTGGGACACATCAGCTATGATCTTGTTAAAGGGCTGAATGGCCTACTCTTGCTCCTAATTCTTATGTTCTTGATCACAAAGATCCAGCATTCTCAGTAATGGTTTTCTTTTGCTGAGGACAGTTTAACTCTGTTGTCAAGTCAGGAGGATGTTTGGTGTGTAGCAGTAATGGTCATCAAATAAATAGACAAATGGTTAAAAATATTTAAAATCCTTCACTTTGAATTGCAGTTTTTAGATAGCAAAATAAATGTATTACTGTGTTGTGGTGGAGGCCAAAATAAAGAAGTGTTTTTTTTAAATTCTTAGAAATAGTTTCTTTTAACTATTGTGGAAAATTTGACATTCCTTGAATACATAGTTAGTCTTTCAGGGTGTTTAGGAATAATTATGAAGTTAGTTTAAAACGTGGTCATGCCTTCATCAACAAGGTGCAGCTTTTTCTAAGAATTTTTAGAGCATGACTGACATGAATTGCAGAGGGACTTTCAGTCTGAAAGAACTTTTACAGGGTATTCTGTGGAGTAGAGTAGTCTAATGGGCAGCACCTTTTCAGTTTCCATGTCATTAGCACATGTCCAGTATCTCAAAATTGCTCTCAGTTCCATTGAAACTATGTAATGAATGGCCATTTTACTGCAATAAAATCTGTGCCAATGTACATCATAATGGCCCAGTTGTGTGAAATGCACTATACTAATTTATGCCTATCATTCTCCAGAAAGTACAGTTTCAATGTGCCATGTACTGTTAAATTTGAATGGAAATCTAGGTGAACCCTACCATGCCATATTTTGTAGATGAACAAATCTGGAGTGCTGAGAAAGGCCATCGATTACATTAAATACCTGCAACAGACCAACCACAAGCTACGACAGGAGAACATGGCATTAAAAATAGCTAATCAGAAAAACAGTAAGTAGTGCTAACTTTTCACCACCAGTAGGTTCCCATTTTTGTACAGTTTCTAATGTACAAGTAACAGTGCTGGCCTTTAATACCCTCCTTTTTTGCAATTGGATTCGTCCTTTTACACACTTACCTGTTGAATACTACCGATACTTAAGTTAACTCTTGTTCAGAATGATGCTTTCAGGTGCGTTGATGAGTAAATGTTAGATGTCAAATTTACAAATAAATTGACTTCTTTTTCCCTTTTACCCATTTACAGAGGGCCTAAAGGCACCAGAGATTTCCAGCCTTTTAGACGTTGATGTTGACCTCAAGACTGATGACTTCAAATCACATTTGTTGATAATGTCACCACCACCTTCAGATTCTGGCTCCCCAGGCACTTTCTCACCTTGTTCCATTGATTCAGAACCAGGAAGCCCTCTCCTTGAAGAAGCTATGGTAATAGCAGTTTATATTGCTGTAATTTCTGTATGTTTTTACTTAATCAATATCTCATTGACATTAATGCTATATTATTGAAGATGTTATAACTTTTTTTCAAAACTTGTTTAAAGACAAAATCTTAGCATTCCAAAGAGAGATTTACATGTTCAGAGATAATAAGAACTGCCGATGCTGGAGTCAGAGATAACACAGTGTGGAGCTGGAGGAACAGAGCAGGCCAGGCAGCATCAGAGGAGTAGGAAAGTTGACGTTTCGGGTCAGGACCCTTCTTCAGAA